ACTGCATCAACTCAAGACAAGTCATCCAAAAACTTCTTACTCAGATTTCTCATGCACATAGTACAATTAATTATTCAAAAATGTAATTGAGAATGACTCAGAAAATGCTTCCATGCTTGCAGCAGGTGAGCAGTCCTATGGCTGGAGGGATCAGCTTCCAGTATTTCATTATTTATATATGGAATTAGTTTTGATATTTATTTATTTTGGCCAACTTTCAAGTTTAAAACTATTTGGAAGTTATAATTTCTCAGGCCAAACTAAACTTCACATCACTCTTACAACTGTAAATTGTGTGAATGGTTTTTCAACTGTAAACAGGCATGGAGGGATGATCTGGATTGGGTATCTGAGGAGGACTTTAACTCCTTTGCACCATGCTACAACCCAGTTTCGTGACCCACTCCGGTGTCTACCCCAACCCCTTCCCAAGCCCAGTCAGTTTCGGCTCAGGCCTAGTGCTCCCCCCCTTCTCTCTCAATCTCTCTCCCCCTCTTATTCTCCACCCTCTCTCTCTCCCTCTCTCCCTCTCTCTGTGTGCGTGCCTGCCTGCCTGCATGCATGCATAGTGTGCTGGGCTGCAGGGAAAGCTCTTTTTTTATCTGTCGCTCTGTTCTAGTACTATTTCAGATAGCAAAAATTGTAAAAGAATTAAAATAACACCACAGCAGCAGTGGCTAGTGGTTGTGAGTGGCAGCCAGTGTGAGGGTGGGCGGGTACAGGACAAAGTCTCAAATGCAACAATTATAAAAGCCTGTGTAACCCCCTCAACTAATACACAATACAGTTTAAAAACAAATTAAATTTTTTTCCAAGAGGATGCACACACCAACCCAGAAACGTGTGACTATCACATAACTTTAAACCAAATTAAAAAAAACCCTATCCTGCTCCCAATTTATTTCAATAGTGTAACCACACTCTGATATGAAGTCTAAAAGGTTGGAAAAGAAAATTCATCAGTTGTATAAAGATCTAGGAAATTAAAGTTAACCAACTTGAGTTTGACTTCACATTTGAAATGACAGAGTTGACTAGAATTGTAGGTTTTAATTTGGAGAATCTAGGTCAGAATTCCAATCAGAAATTGGACTTTCAGAGTTCCAGAATGTCCCATCCCAGAAGTCACCTCAAATCCCCCAGACAGACTTCAGGGACTGGGATAATTAAAACCAAAAGGCAAAAGACATGTCTTTGTACCGCCACTGTCTGCTCCATTCCACAAGTATCAGCTGGAAAGAAGAAGGGAACATCCTCTTGTTCCTGCTGCTTCTTGGGAATCACCCCAGTGTTACATGGGAAGGGTCATCCAGTGAGAGGCTCCCTCTATAGTCTAGTGCAGTGGTTCCCAACCTTGGGTCCTAGATGTTATTGGATCACAACTCCCATAAATCCTGGCCAGCACAGCTAGTGATGAAGGTTTCTGGGAGTTTTCATCCAGGAACACCTGAAGACCCAAAGTTCGGAACTACTGGTCTGCTGGGAAACAAGTCTACCCTTCTCCTGGAGCACTGGGGCAACTCTTAGGAAACAGTCGGCCTAAAGGGGGCATTCCTGTCTTCCCAGCTGAAGCACATGGTATTAAAGAGATGTGATGGTAGAATCGTATCTCTTTGCCTCCTGGTCTCTCCTCTCTCAGTCCCAGAAGTCGCCCTGGGGGATTCTAAGATATTCTAAGTCCCAGAATTGCAAACATTCCATCCCTAATTCCAATCACTATCTCGTAAAGCCTTATCTTACCTCACAAAAGTGAGATAGCATTAGAAACTACCAGAACAAAAACTGGGAGATCTGTGGCTTTCTGTGCAGCAGTGCCAATTAATCTCTTTTATGCTACCTTGAGATTCTTCAGTGAGAGGCAGGATCTACAAGTGACAAGCAAATAAAATGGTGTATCACTGTTGCCAGGCCAGCTATCAAAAGCAGTGTATTAGCATTCAAAGACTGAAATCTGGTTTCCTGTGATAACAAACTATAATACTGAAAAAATAGATGCTAAAAACGATATCTGCACAGGAAGGCCAACAGAGGCAAGTAAAATACAACCTTACAGATGTTGTTGGAGTACAACTCCCATCAACCCTAACCAGTACAGCCTATGGCAAAGAATGCTGGGAGCCCAACAACATCTGCAGCAGTCACAAGTAGAGCCATTTAAATCAATGGAACTTACAGAAAAGTTGACTCTATCAAATACCCGTTGATTAAAAGGGCCTCCCTTAAAGCAATTGCTACACTAACTGGGATTTTGGCCATTGAGTACATAATGCTAAGCATTTCTATTCAGAGGTGAGTTTCAAGGAACTAATAATGATATTTAGGACTGCATCCTTAACAGGTAAGCAAAACAAAAAAAAACTCTGTGGGAGAAACAGAGGAAGTACATAGATGAACAAATCTTGAAACCATAAACTCTTCAGAATATATATATCCTTGACAATGAAATACATGAAGTTACTTCTTTGCAACTCAATCGGCATGCCCCATGATAACTGAAAATCCCCCAAGCTACAGGAGGGTTTCAGCTCAATTATAACTCAACAGCTGTAGAATGGAGAGCGCCTTTGGCAAAGAATACTTAATTAAAGTACGGAGCAGGGAAAAACACTCCTGATGTTACCCAAAAATTCCAGTCGTTACTCCAATTATATGGCGAGGATGTTTGCATCTTCTCTGTGCATCTGTTAAGATTCTCCTCAGAGTCCATCAAAAACTGGTTGATGAGGCTATGATCCATTTCATCGAGTGCCTATGAATGGGAATAGAACAATGTTTAGTTCAGTAATGCAACCAACTGTTGCTAGAGCAAAACTGGTAAGTACTTTGTAGTATTACTAATTAAAAAACCTCTAAGGTCCTGGACTGCTGCATAGCTCAGTGGTTTAGATATTGACTGGGAGTTCATGTCCTCACTGTGCCTCCTTCAAAGGGGCTGGACTCCGTGATCCTTCCAACTCTGCAGCTCTAAGATATTACCATTATTATTACTCAGGGAGAACAAGTAATAAACATTTCCAACTCATGTTACATTCATTCAACTCACAGCATTTCAGAGTCTTTCTTCATGTTCAGTACATTGTATAAGATATGTACATTTTATTTTCCAGTTTTTCTAAACTCTCCTTGCATCTTCTGTTAAAGTTCAGTCATCTTATCTAAAACAATCATAGTATTAAGTAGACTAATAGTTAGGAAAGTATATTTCCCTCAGCTACATACTGTATTCTAAACTGTTCGTTCAATATATACCATGCAAAATGTTGTACAAACATCTTATGTATACACTGCATTTTGTTTAAAAGCCAGAGTTGAATGTTGTGCAGAATTTTGTAAAAGAAACAGAATTCTATAGGAAAAAGAGACCCTAAGGAGGAAGGCAATAAAATGTCTTATGCTAATAGAATGGAATGCTGAGTAACTATTAAGAGGGATGGATTGGAAAAATGGATGGGAGGGGAAATGGAATGGACTACTGAAAAAGTGAACAGGGCTGGCTGGTTGGTGCACTCCACAGAGTTTCCACTTTGTTGCTGGTCCCATTTGTAGAAGATACATTTGTCACTGAAAGGGGTTTTTTATGACTATCCCAAGCCCAAAACACAATTAAACCATTCTGTGCCACAACCTACAGCAAATCTCTTGGCTAACCTGTTTTCCTCACCACTGGGAGCGAGGATGGAAATATTATTTTCCAGGACAAAGAATGAAAAACAGGCAGGAAACATATTGTTCTCCAGCTATCTTCTTCAACTATGTTTTTTAAAACTTCATGTGTATGATTATTGTGACATGGTGGTGTTCATAGACACCAGGGTCTTAATACAAAGATTAACAAAAAGCCTCACAAGCTTTCCAGATCTCCCCTTTTCTTCCAGAAAGCATCTAGCTGAGAGTATTCCAGAGTAGAGAATAAAAAAATAAAATAAAATGAAGTTCTATTTTTAGTGGTCTATAAAGATATCACCTATTTTTGCATTTAAAAATAAAGTGTATCTGTAGATCCCAAGGAATCCAAGCACAGAAATACAGTACCATTATGTTTCCTTGACAATTACAGTTCAGAAGGGTCAAGTTTTCTACATCAGTGCTGGCCCTCTATCTCTTGCTGAATTTTGATTCTCATCATCACTCAGCATTGGCTCTGCTGCTTTCAGAAGCACACCAACAACTTTTGCAGGGCCACAAGTTACTCACCCCTGTTATAAATAACAAACTTTGGCCATGAGGATGATTACCGCTTCTCTTGATTGCTTCCTTCACAGGCTGATGGTCAACCTATCAAACACTTCTTATCACTACCTAAATCTAAATTTCTGCTTATCCCTCTGATCTGCTGTATTAAAGACATAGCACCCTTGTAAAAGGGGGAAAACGGCGGTCACAACAGATTGCAAAGCAACCAACAGAACCCCAACAATCCTGTCCTTAGGAGTGGGCCAAAACCGAACTTTTCCCCCCGTCAGCGGCAGATCTCAGAAGTCCGCCGATGGCTTTTTTCAGAGTTTGGGAGAGAACAAAAGCCAAGCCGCTGACAGGAGATGATGACCGCGAGTAGAAGCACGCTCATCGAAACCTGCAGTTCTTGGCCGCAGAAACTGGAGCGCCTATTAAAATTTTATCTTTTAAAAGCCGCCCGGCCATATCTCAAAAAAAAAGAGCAGAAAGGGGGAAAAAAATAAGATCGCCCGGCTTACCATGGAGGAAAGAAAGATGCAACCTGAACACGCACAGTCTCAACATGCAGCCCCGGAGGGCTGCGCCGCCTCTCGATGCCCGCAGTTTAAAGGGCCAGCCGCGAGGAAGGAGGCCAGCGCCAAGGCGAGCGAGGCCGCTCTTTATTCAAAGCGGCGTCCCTTTCTGGAGCAGGGGGGACGGAGAGGTCCTTTACGGCCTCGCGAAAGCCATTGGCTCCAGGGGCGCTTCAGCTTGTGGGAGTGGCGCGAAAAACCGGCCTGTGGGGAGAACTGGGTTGCTTGGAGCCGGAACGCTTTCTTCCAAAGAGAGGGCTAGAGTCGCTTTCACCCAAACTAGCAGAGTTTTTCCAGGGGACAATAAGCAAACCTGGACTTGTTGGGATTCCACTTCCTCTTGAGTAAACACTTTATTTGTTAGTAAGAGGAGAACCCAACAATATCCTAAAGGTACGAAAGTCTCCTTCGCTTTAATTTATAAGCACGATTAGGCGCACGCCGTCACCCATGGAGGTACTGTAGGTCTATTTTAACACAGTAGGGATGACTTCTAAGTAAACCCATACATGATTGTGCTGTGAAAGGTATTGGATGCTTTTAAGGTAACCACTTTGCTCCATTCTTCTGCTTCTTGGGAAGGGAAACCGTCGTGGAAAACTACGTCTTGACTACAATAGCCATAGGTTCACATCCCCCCCCTCCAAACTTCTCTTCCCATTATTTCCTAGCTGCCATATTGGTTGGAAGTAATAGGTAATTTCACCGAACACATCTAAAGACTATTTTGGTCAGTGGGGGAAGAGACCACTATGTGCACTTTATTGAGACGTTTGGTAAATATAATAGGGGAAAGCAAAATAGAAGTAAAAAAAGATAAAAACATGGTGGCATCTTAAAGACTTACATGGTACAGTACATATAACTTTACAAAATAGGTTTGGTTCTCAGTGCTGTGGAGGTATATGTATACATATTTATTAAAAACCTAGGTGCGCAAATAAGACAAATACACTCTTTAATGGGGTATATTATGCATAGATCTAAGCCATTTATGCCTGTGTGTGATTGAACAGTTTCATTCTTCTGTGCAATCAAATAAAAACTGACTTATAGTAACCTTAGTAGGGCTTTCAAGGTAGGTGAGATATTTAAAAAATAGCTTTACTAGTTTTATATCCCCCCTGATTTTCCATAGCCCAGCAGGGATTTGAACCCATGCCTCTTGAGTCCTAGTCTGTCATTCTATCCCCTATACTGTACCACACTGGGTTGACTGTAAGGTAATTAGGGAACCAGTGTTGTCATTTGGATTGAGTGACAAACTAGAGAGCAGGTCTCAAACTGCTGGATAGTTCAATGGAAGAAGTTTGGAGTTCAGTTTCCACTGTGCCTCCATGATATGGACTTGATGATCCACAAGGTCCCTATCTCTATCATCTATCTCTGTTACACCTTCTCATGATATGGACTGAGTAAGGTAATTAGGGAACCAGTGTTGTCATTTGGATTGAGTGACAAACTAGAGAGCAGGTCTCAAACTGCTGGATAGTTCAATGGAAGAAGTTGGAAATTCAATTCCCACTCTGCCTCCATGATAGGGGTTGGACTTGATGTTCCACAGTGGAGTTCAGTTTCCACTGTGCCTCCATGATATGGACTTGATGATCCACAAGGTCCCTATCTCTATCATCTATCTCTGTTACACCTTCTTATGATATAGACAGATGCTCCACTTTGCCTGTTGGACATTTTTAAATTTTCCTTAATCTTGTTTCACACAACGTTATTACCTTACAAGTAAACATGATATGAAACACAGTTCTGTGTTGAGTTTTTATTAGCTAATAGTCCATGGGATGTGGTGGGTGGGCAGGCCAGGATTTACTAATGTAAATAAATGCCATTGTTAATCTTTTTTTTAACCACAGAAAATTATCCTGTTGTGTAATCTGCTATATTAGATTGCAGTGTTGCTATGTTTGGTATTTTGCTCTTATGTAATCTGCTATATTAGATTGCAGTGTTGGTATGTTTAGTATTTTGCTATTAACACACACACACACCAAAGACTTACAGCAAGCAAGTTTTATTTCATGTCTGCAGGCATGGAGAGAACACACCTGGGCAGGTGTGGTCTCTGGTATTCAAGCATTCAGCAATACATGTTATACCCGACGCAACGCAACCCTTTCTGTCCCTCTGGCCATTCTGTGTGGTCTCTGGTATTCAAGCATTCAGCAGTACATTTTATACCCGACGCAACACAACCCTTTCTGTCCCTCTGGCCAATCTTGACCAAAGCGGAAAGCTCACATTCTACCTATCACACAACACAAAGCACACCTATGCCCATATATGTATCTCTTTTCTCTACTTGCTACACTGACTCACGTTTTTCAACTTTTACTTTCTCTTTTGTTTCTCAATTCTCTGTGAACTTAGAACTATTGCTTCACCTATATCAGTGTGACTCCCACTCTTGTTAAGTAAAAGGTAAAGGTAACGGTTCCCCTTGACATTTAGTCCAGTTGTGTCCAACTCTAGGGTGCTGTGCTCATCCCCATCTCCAAGCCGTAGATCCAGCGTTTGTCTGTAGACAGTTTCCATGGTCACATGGCCAGCGCGCCGTTACCTTCCCACCGAGGTGGTCCCTATTTATCTACTCGGATTTTTACATGCTTTCGAACTGCTAGGTTGGCAGGAGTTGGGACAAGCGACGGGAGCTCACTCTGTCGCATGGATTTGATCTTACAATGTCTGGTCTTCAGACCTTGCAGCACAGAGGCTTCTGTGGTTTAACCCGCAGCACCACCACGTCCCCCTAAGTTAAATACCCATAATTATTTAGGTCTGTAATGCTATATCCACTTACTGAGTAAATTCCTGTGAATTCACTGGAATTTACTTCTGAATATATAACTTGTGCTCTGTCTTTAATCTCCACTTCTTGTTATAATTGTTATAATTAACCCGCAGCACCACCACGTCCCCCTAAATTAAGTACCCATAATTATTTAGGTCTGTAATGCTGTATCCACTTACCTAGGAGTAAATTTCTGTGAATTCACTGGAATTCTGAATATATAAATTGTGCTCTAATTGTCTTTAATCTCCACTTCTTCAATATGGGTGCAATTAGAAAAGTGAAGGAAAATTCCAGCCTTTTAATCACTCATAGAGGAACATAGCAATTGCTAAAGCTATAACGACATATATCCTATTCTCAAGGAGGAGAAAGGCAAATTTCTGGAGAACAGGAGTCAAAATCTCCTGAATCACACCCACTCTCTTAGGCTATGGTATCAAACTTGCAAGAGAGGACTGATAATAGAGATTTGCTATATAAGGAAGATATTACATTAGAAAGGATATCTGGTGCCTGACATAAATTCAAAGCAGACATTTACCCGCATTTCAGACATACCGCTTGAGGATCTCAGCTCTTCAACATGGGCTTTATCCACAAATAAAGCCTTCAATCCACATAGACCTGATCCACCAACAAATTCTTGAGTCCTGTATTTTGCTCACACAAGATTTTTGATATGCACCAAAGCCAGGCCCAGGACTGAAGGACATGTGACTCCTTCCTCCTTTCCTCTGCTGATCTGCTTGAGCATGAGAGTGGATGGAATCTGCCTGGAATATTTGCTTTTTATATTCTGCTGCCTTCAGCAGAAAGATGAGATGAAAAGTCTCCAAAGACTGCAACAGAAAAACTTTGCAGCCATCTGTGAGGTTCCTTAGGTTTTTTTCTTCAGTGTAATAAAGTAAAATAAACCAGTTTAAGTTTCAACTTATTTCTATTAATGTATAGTTCAGCTAAAATTTAACCTTCATTACCTTCAATTTTTAACCCAGTCAGTTAACTCAGCATATTTCTAATTATTATGGTTGATCTTTGTGGAATTCTGAGTAAAATATATAAAAATAATTTTAAAATAACTGTGGCTCTTCTTAATTTGAAGTTGTAGTCTTCCAGTGCTTTGTAGTTGTTCTCATTTCTCCAGCTCCCCTGCTCCTTGCTATTGCCACTATGATTTTGTTAGGGCTAGGATATTTTTATATCGAAGCTGAGATTCACACAGCTTTATCAAAAAGTATGTTGTGAGAAGCCAGTTAAAGTCACAAGGGCTGGTGACTGTGAAGGAACGGAATGGCTAAGCACATGCAAATAGAAACCTAGACCCAGAATGTTGTCATCTTTGTGAAAGAGAAAACAAGTGTATTTAAACAATTGAAATGTTTCCAGCATCTTCAGAATAAAAGAGCATTTTTGCAAATTATCTAGCAATAAATCCAGGAAAACTATTTTATATATCCAGTGTGGGCAAAATGTAGCCTGCCAGATGTTGTTGGACTGCAACTCCTAGCTTTCCTTACCCTTGGCTGTACCGGCTACAGCAGATGCCCACCAACATCTGGAGAGCAACACTCAATCATAATTCTCTGGGGAGTGTATTTGTATGAGTGACAAGATCTCAAGCTATGCATGGCAGCACAAGATCTATTATCATATACAGTACCCAGGATGTAAGCCCTTGCTTGTCTTTTTCTAGTGGACAAGAATAAGAAAGAAATCCGTATGTTTGTTTTCTCTGCAAAAGCAATGATATATTTTCTGTTGTATCATTGAGTAGTCAGGTTTCCAATAATTATTTTGCAAAAGTTGTGCAAAATTACAATTACATGGTCTTTTAAAATTAGAACTATCTGATTGAGTTCTTTTGTGTCTTATTGATCAGCCAGCTAGGCTTTCTGTGCATGGTTTGCCTCACATAGAAAATAGATAGAAAATTATTTTGCGTAAACTGTGGAAATCTCAGTCCCCATCCCCAAAACACACCTTGTCTTACTCTTGCGATGAAGGCAAGGAACCTCTCAAGAGTTAAACTCTTGTTAGGCTGTGTCCCAAAATGTTGAAACAGCCTTTCTCAAGGGAAAGATGGAAGTTAGCTAGATTTCTTCACTGTCTTTTCTTGAACTTGGCTTAGCCCATTCACATGTTTAAAACCTGGAGGGGGCATAGTTTGTCAAGTAAAAGACTAATAGAGGAATACTGAAACTTTAGATGCTTTTCTTTTACCACTTCCCTACAATTAAACCCTCCAGCATTTCAGCCATCTGAGAAATGTCAGGTGGTTGAAGTGTGGACTAATGCTGTGCCTTATACTCTGTCATGTCTGTTGTGGTGGATGGAAGAGGAGTGTGGTTTGTACATAGGCCAGCTCCATGTAGCAGTCAGGAAAAGTAACTAAAAAGAAACGGAGTAATAACTACTGTGAAACGGAAAATAAATAGTTACTTTTAAAATTTGTGGCCATGCTTCTAAAAATAAATTTCCAACCTTTGTAACATCATTGTGAGTTTTGCCCAATTCTCACGTTTGCTCAGTGAGCTAAGGAAACACTCAGGGATGGGAGATCAAGATCACACCTATTGGTTTTTTA